TGAAAAGTATTGACTTCCCTTGGTGTGTTATGATTCTTTGCTTTTTAACTTTTTTTGTGTGTGTTCCTGCTTTAATATCTGTACATCTGGCAGAACAATCAACTCTTCCAATTTTATAGGGTGGCTTCCATAGGGAAAGTCTTTCACTTGCAGAAGTTTCCTAGGGTGTTGGTCGGATAGGGTCCATTGGTTTTGGTTCCAGATAGCCATTGTAGTGTGATCTCCATGCAATTTCTTCAGCTCTAATAACATCAGCCATGCCTATAAGTGCCTCAGTGGTCTAAGCTGTAGGAGTTTGCGAGGGTGGTGACAGCAAGGTAGATTATTAGGGTTCTCAGCAGCATGGACTTTAGGAATCTTTGTTCTTATTTTCCTCACAGTGGGGAGACTTACCTGAGGGGATCTCTCTTGGTGTTGGGTCTGACATGGATCACAGGCAGGCACAGTGGTGCTGTGTTCCAGGGAAGAGATACTTGAAGTGGTTGCAGATATGCCTTGCTGAGCCACTTTTGCACTTGAGCCTGGATGCAGGTTCACTCTGTTAGGCAGGAACAGATATAATTCTCTCATCAGGCCAAGGGCTGTAACTCTGAGGCACGCCCCAGTAGTTCAGGTCCAGGGGGCAGGAGTATAGCTGTGACTCTTATCCTGAGGTTCAGAGCACAGCACTAAAATCATGGATCCAGAGATAAAGCGTGTTCCATAGACTCCAGCCCTGGGGAGTGGAATACAGTTGTAATTTGAATTCCAGAGCCAATAGGGCACAGTGGCAGCTCAGTCACTAGCAGAGCGCATACCACATCGTGGTGACTCTAGACCATAGAGCAATGGACACAACAATGACCCAAGCTCTGTGAGGTTGAGTACAGTGTGGCAGCAAGGACCCAAGAATGGTGGTGGGGTGCACCCCTGGCTTGAATTCTGGGGGGTGAAGAATAGTGCAATGTTGGTTTCATTCCCCAGAGAGGTCATGTCCCTCAGCAGCTCAGACTCTGAAGGGCTAATCCAGATCCAGGCAGAGCACTGAGGCTGTTTTCCCAAGAGGGCAGGATGCTACAGATCAGTCAAAACCTCTTCTTTGGGGTGAGATGTCAGCCTGTTTTGCACACCAAGGGGGCATGTGGCTATTCTGCTGACTCGGTTGCAGTTTCTCTGGGGGCAGGGCACTGGGCTGGCTCATGTCCTGAGGGTGTACATGCCTGGTCTGCTGGTTCAGGCTTGACTTCTTGAAGCATGGCTTCCTGTTCCTTGGGGGAGCAGGGTTCCTTGAGGGCTTGGGTGACAGGGTCACGGTTGTCCCACTGAGCCTAGGATTCAAGTAACCAGAGTCGGACACTGTAGCCACTGGGACGAAGAAGATGGCGTGACTCCTAGACCGCTTGTTCTCATGGGCTAGGGAGCTTCAGCAGCTTGTCTAGGGAAGGATGTACTGCTGTGTGTGAGAATGGTGCAATGATGATATAGCCTCAGGAATGAAGAGATGTGGTGGCTACTGGCTCCCAAAACAGAACACATTTTAAGGGTAGCTGTGGTTTCAAGGTGGTGCTATGTAACAGTAGCTTGGGTCATGAGGGGTGCTCATAGCATGGGCTCCCTCTCTGGAAGACGGCAGCTGTGTGAGGTCTAGACAGCTTCCTAAACTGGGCTTAGGGTCTGTGAGAACTGCAGGAGTCTCCAGCAGCAAGACTAGGTGTCCACTGAGGTAGCTGGGGTTTCTGGGGCCTCTGTACCTATCTTGGCAGGGAGAAGTCCCTCAAGAGTCCAAGCTGATCTGAACTGAGAGATAGGTAGCAGAGACAGGTTATTTTAGTTTCTTCTTTATGCATTCGTGCTGAGTTTCTGTGTTCTACAGGGTTTCTGCCACTTTCTTGTTGTACTTTAGTGCTTTTTATTAAGCACACTAGTCAAAAAGTAGTTGTTTATTCACTGTTTTGGTGCTTTTTTTCCTGAAGGATTTAGGGTTAGGCGTCTCTGGACAGCCATCTTGCTGACAGAACCTGCAATGTCTTTTATCTTAAAACGATACAAATATGACCTGATGATCTCCTCAGCTCACTGCACCATTACTCTGTCTCCTTTTATAAAGTTTTCATGAACTGCTATCTTTGTTTCACTTCCTTTCTTTCCTTAAAATTTATTTTAAATTTACATTACATTAAGATTCAACTTTTTGGAACACTGTCTATGATTCCCTTTTTTGGAGCACTATCTATGATGTTTAGGATCATGTGACCACCCACAGAATCAACATACAAGACATTACTTCAAAAATTTCCTTATGTCCTCAATCTCTTTATAGTCAAATCTTCTCTCATTCCCTGGTAATTACTAAACTGTTCTAGGTCTCTGTACTTCCTCCTCATTGTTTCCTGAAGCTTCTGTAATCAATATTTCATTCCTATCACTCCATTGAAACTGTTCCATTCAGGAGTCAATTTTAATTTCTTATTTTACTCTACTTCTCAGGGACTTTTAATAACTCCTTCTTTTAGAAATACTTTTTCTGAAATATATTCTGCTAATTTTCTTTCCAGCTCAACACCTGCTGCTCCTGTCTCCTTGCTGGATTCTTTACTGACCTCAAAATGTTGGACCTTCTCAACTTATCTTCTCCATCCATACTCACTTCCCCAAGTTAGATAATTCTGTCATGTTATGTGGCACTTTAAGCTTAAACTCAGGCTAATTTCTTGAACCTTGACCTCTCTTTTGAATATCTTTCATGTGTCTAACAGACATCTTAAACTCAACAAGCCATTTTAAAATCTCTAGTAGGCATCTCACAGTCAGACAGATCTCTTGATCTTTCACCTGTTTCACCACCACCTGCAAAACTTAACTTATTTCTCCTCAGCACTTCTCCAATTCAGTAAATATGACTACCATTTGTCCATTTGTTGTGAGCCCAAATCTAGTAGTCACATTTAATTCCACTCTCTCTTCCTTTTTGCACTTTCAATTTAATTCATAGGCAATTCCTACTGATTCTACTTTCAGAATTGATGCTGAAATATAACCATTTCACAGAACCAGTACTGTTTAATCCGAGACATTATCCCTACTCTCCTAGACTAAATTCTCACTACTGTTCTGCCTGCTTCTCTTGCACTTCTGTAGTCTGTTTTCCTCACAGTATCAAAGGTCAGCGTGAGATTATAAGTGTAAATTAAATCACAACTTCCCATAGCTTCCCATCACATCTGTAATGAAATCCAAAACTGTCACTAAGTCCATAGAGCTCCCAAGACAGGCTCCTGCCTGCTTCTAACACACCAATAACCACCACTGTTCCCACTTCATCCTCTCCGGGTGCACTTGCTTTCTCATTCCTCCTTGGACAAGCTCATCCCTTCCTCAAGATATTTGCATTTGTTCTCCTCTGCCAGGGATGCCCTTTCCCAAATATTAAGAACACTTGCTTCCTGATATCAGTCATATTTTTACTGAGTTAGAATCTATCTAAATAGTCAAGACAATCCTAAGATACTCTGTAACTTAGTTCTCTGATGTGTTTTTCTTATAGCAGCAAGCACCCTATGACCTCATACAGTTATTTTTAAATTGGCTCACTTTCATTATAATGTACATTTTTGAATGTCAAAGATGGTCACTCACGGTCACTCCTATAACCCCAGTGCCATGCACAATGGTATATAGTAAGCATTCATATTATTTGTTGCATGGATGAATATATAAAATGGGCTGTTTATGCTAGCTCCCACTGATTCTTTCTTCCTACTTGAGAGATTAATTATTCAAATAATCATTTACCTAAAACGTAGGTATCTCAGACTAAATATGGGTTAAAATAGATAATAACGAGATTATATTTACTAAATGCTAAGTAATTCCAAGCACTATTCTAAGCTCTTTAAGGATATCAACTTATTTAATCTTCAGCAGAGAGGATTTAATACTAAAGCACAGAAAAGCGAAATATTTTTCCCAGGGTCACGCAGCTTGGAAGAGGAAGAGCCAATACTCAAGTCAATGCTATCTAGCCACAAAGTCTTCATTTTCCCTAGAATTTTTCTTTTGGGACTACTATGCCTTGGTATTTTGGTCAAAGTATTAGAATAGAAGATAATTTTTGGAGAAATCTAAATTTTTTCTCAGATCAGCCTCCTCTGACCTGAAGCTGAAACACAAAGGCTCCCCATGTGCTAAACACAAGATGTTGCATTTCCCCTGCTTGACCAGAAACCAGTGAGTCTGGACCTGGACCTTTTAGGAGAAAGGTGGTGGCAGTGGGAATAAGGGGTTGGAAGTGAAGAATACTAAATAGCTAAGAAAGAAGACACCATCTCCTAATCACAGAAGATAAGAGTTGCTGAAAATAATTGTATGATCCTAAAAAACCACATGTTGCTTTTGTGGACAGGTGTCCTCTGGGTGATACAGAATGTGGAAAAAAGAAAAGAGAGAAGAAGGAAGAGGAAGTTAGATAAGGAGAGAGGAGGGCGAATGAGAGAAAGGAAGAAGAGAGAAAGAGGGAAGGAGGGAGGAAGGCAGAGAGTTGGGAGGGCCCCAGGGAAGGAGTGTTGTGGAGAAAGCTTTTGAAAAATCAATGTTGTGGCCATGTGGGATTTGCTTCTCTGTACTGATCTCTGCTGACTTCTCTCCCAGCTCCATTCTGTGAACCCATCGGTGAGTGGCACTTCCCTCTCTTCTTCAAGGTCTGTGGGTACCTTGTCACTGGCTCAGCACAGGATGCCGAGGATGACTGTCTGAGAAGGCCCTGCTTGTCCAAGACACTTCCGGGTGATAGCTGCTGAGGTGAAAACACACCAGTGGCTCCCTTGGGCCCAGCTGCTCTATGTTTACACCAGTTTCTGCACCTGACATGTGCCTGCTCAGCGGGGCATGGAGATCTTCCTCTGACCTTCTCAAGAACACAGTCTTCTTTCTGGGAAGTCCCAGTCTGGGGAGGGAGACACCATTTGCATAAGGAAGGCAGAAAGTGCCGAAGAATCTCTGTCCTCTCAGCCTCAGGGGCTCCAATGCCCCTGTGTGCTCCTCTGCTGGATACCTCACCAGTGGTGATGGAGAAAATGCCGAAATCACATCTACGGAGGACAATGTTGCACTTCATCCTTGGACCACATGCCAAGTGAAGTCGTACTGCTGCCTCTTTTCTATTTTTGGCTCCAATCTGCAGCCACAACTGTTACCCCAGCTCATTTTCTTTCTCAGGCTCTGGTTTATGCAAATGTACTTCTTTGCCCTGATCCGGATTCAGTCTTACTTTTACCAGAGGAAGAGAGGAGGAAATTTCACCCCCACCCCACCAAGGAATCTTGCATTAAAGCATGCTCAATTCTAATTATATGTGAGAACTGCTCCCTGGTGCATAAACCGCTAAGCATAGGGTTAAAAGAGATTGTCCCTCTATCTCAAGAGCATAGGTTGCAGGTGCAACTAGGGATCACAGGCCAGGAATTCCCATGACCCCAGAGATTCAGAATCAACTCAGCCTTCTGAGTTCCTCACTGGATGCTTGTCCAAGTCTAACTCATGCCCTGTGTTAATGTCATGCATGCCTTGTGCACACTCTCACCTTTACCTCTAAGCCCAGGTGCCCAATCCCAGCCGAAGAAGAAAGTGTACCCCTCTCCTCCCAAAAATGAGAAACAAAGTTTCTGCCACCAGGTATTTTCCAGGTAGTCTCTGCTGCCTGAGAATGATCTGAAATAAGTCCTAAGCTGCAAGACTGAGCTCTAGACCCTCTCAGTTGGCTCTGTCCACCCTACCCCCAGCCCACAGAGGAGAGAGTGGGTTGACACTGTTAGACGCCAATTTATTCCTTCCTCTGTTCAACTGCTAAAAGCAGTTCTGCCGGTCAGTCTTCTGGGCACTACGGTTTTCCAAGTAAAGAAAGTAACTCTAACATATCGGGTATTCCATACCCCAGGACAAAGCAAATATTCTAGTACCATGGATGGAGTTGTTTAAATGGCCTCAGGGAAAAGTCATTTCAGTAGAAAGGCTTAGAGATGACAGCTATTAGACTAGAAATCACCCCTCATTATTCTAGAGCACTTGTCTTTTCATGCAGTAAGGAGAGAAAGAGATTTGCCTGTCTTAGGGAAATTATTAAAGTTTTTCAAAGGGCAGAGGCTCTGAGGGTTGAATAAACAAATGACCAAAAAGCCACTGCTGTTAGGAATTGTAACGTTTCACATGGGCTGCTGCATGTGGGGGAGGAAAGGAGAGAAGTTGGGGCAGAACACAACTTTAACCATCTTTATCACCCAGAAAAGAGTACCTAATACCCCAAAGGAGGTACATCCCTGAGGCTAAAGTTTGTACAGATCAAGGGAGCTGGGTGTGTGGATGGTGGCATCTCCAGGCAAGAGCGCCTTTTTTCTTCCAATAGAAACAGCAATAATAGGGTAGGACAGAGTCAGCAATGAGGGGATTAAGTTAGTCTATGTCTTTCCCAGACTCCTTGATCCTCCAAGTCCCATATTAGGTATTTGAAAGAGACGGTGTGGGTCTGAGATGTCAGGGAACTGGGGACAGTAGAGAATAACCAGTATGGCTTACGCCAAGGATGAAAGAAATAGACTCACATTTGCTAAAACTTTAAGCTTCCCCATTTCCATTGTCAACCCAGGAATATCTTTAATATTCCTGCCCTGGTTTTGAGAAAGATGTTTTTAGTTCATGGATAGACACTTCAAAAAGTACTCAGACCCAAGTTAAAGGTAAGGATTGCCTTTGGAGGGGAGATGATGCTGCACAGGGGCAGGATGTGCCAGGGTGGGAAGGGTAAGTTTATGGCAAAAAAAAAAAAAAAGCAAGCCCATGGGCCACTTGTAGGTAAAGTTATTGTAAGGGGTGATCTGTGTGTCCAACCAACTGTTTCTTTGCGTCTTGTTTGCAAATGTTGAAACACAAAATACTTCTCACCAGGATCTCTGATCCCATTGCCCTGGAATTTGTGTTTAATTTCTCTAGAGCTCTTTCTGACAGCCAGCCCCTCCCAGCCCACAGAGGGGAGCTCAGTGACCTTGACCTGTAATATCCAGACTCCTCCACAGATGTCATATGCTCAGCTCCAGTTCTGCTTCTTCGGAGATGCCGGGGCCCTGGGGCTGGGCTGCAGCAGCTCCCAGAAACTCCAGATCTCCGCCATGTGGAGGGAAGACTCAGGGGCCTACTGGTGTGAAGCTCAGACATCAGCACCCAAAGTCTGGCGGAGCTCAAGATTCCCGATAAATGTGCAGAGTGAGTGTCAGTGGGCCTTGTCTGCTGGGGTGACTGAGAAGAGCAGTGGCAAGAGGTTAGCCCTCCTTGTCTGTTGGGTTCTTCATCTTCAAGAATAGGAGTTGTTTGAGAGATGCACCTGAGTTTCTCTCTTTGTTAACATCCTTAAAGTATCATCCCTTTATCTTGCTGATTCCATTTGGGAAAGTAGAGAGAATTTAGGAAATCCTTACTGAGTATCTTCACTGTGCTGGGGAGTGTGTGTGGAAGAAACAGTTGTAAAATAGCTGGTCCCCGACTACAAGGTGCTCAACCAGCACTCTGAGCAGCTATGGTGGACTATGTGGTGCTACATTGTATAGCATTGTGTAGCACTTGACTGTCAATTGTGTAGTGCTCACTGTCAATCATGTAGCACTGTCAATTGCATAGTACTGACTGAAAATTTTGTAGCACGTTAATTGTGTAGCACTGTCAGTTGTGTAGCACTGACTGAGAATTGTGTAGCATTGACTGCCAATTGTGTAGCACTGAGTGAGAATTGTGAAGCACTGACAGTCAATTGTGTAGTACTGTCTGTCTGTTGCATAGAGCTGACTATTTTTTTTTGATTTGGAGTCTCACTCAGTCACCCAGACTGGAGTGCAGTGGCCGCTCCTGGCCAACGCAGCCTCGACATGCTGGGCTCCAGCGATCCTTCCGCCTCAGCCTTCTGAGTAGCCGGAATTACAGGCGTGTGTTACCATGCCCGGTTGATTTTTTGATTTATTGTAGAGATGAGGTCTCGCTTCCCAGGCGGGTCTCGAACCTGCGGGCTCAGGCAATCCACTCACCTCAGCCTCCCAAAGGCGTGGGCTTACAGGTTGAGCCACCGAGCCCGGCTAGTGTTGGCTATTAATTGTGTAGCACTGACTGTCAGTTATGTAGCATTGACTGTCAATTGTGTAGCACTGACTATCAGTTGTATAACGGTGACCGTCAATTGTGTAGCACTGTTAATTTTGTAGCACACTGTCAATTGCATAGTACTGACTATCAATTGTGTAGCACTGACTGAGAACTGTGTCGCACTGATTGTCAGTTGTATAGCGCTGACTGTCAATTGTGTAGTGCTGACTGAGAATTGTGTAACACTGGCTGTCAATTGTGCAGTACCGACTGCCATTTGAAAAAGAGGCCTGAGGTGGTAAAGGAAGGATTTGTGGAAGAAGTGGATAGAATAGGCTCCTGGAGCAGGGTTTCTGGAAGGGAAGCTTGATGGCCAGAATTTGATTTAGAAAGACAAGAAGAAAAGAGTATTTTGTGATTCTGAACTGTGTTATTCCACTTCAAGATTGACACTTCTAACATCTTCTCCCATTCTCAGACAGAGAGGAATCTGTTGTGCCATGAAGCCAATACCTAATACCTCCAGAAGGCTGGGCTCTTCCACACTTGCTAAAAATTCAACAGTGGTAAAACTGGAACACCTCTGCAACAAAAGTCATTGAGCAGCACATACACAGCAGTCTCTGTTCGAGTGCTTCATAGATGTTGTCTAATTGCACCCTCACAACTGCTGAGGATAACTATCATTAACATCTCCATTTTACAAATGGGATTGAGTTCTCAGAGAAGTTAAGCGATTTGATCAAGTATGCCTGCAAGTAAAAGAGTTGCAACCACTATTTAAATAAGGCAGCTTGATTTACAATTTGAACATGTGATCACTGTGCTATTGTGTCTCAAAAAAATGAGAATTTGAGAGATTAAGGTGATAGAAGTCACACTGTCCTAGGGGAAAATGTGATGCCACATCCTCTATGGTATTACTGTGGTGTTTTTCTTACCCTACCAATCAACCCAACCGATCTTCACTAACAACCTAACCAACGTTGATTCTAAATCAGCAGACTACCCCCAAATTAAACTATGTACATCATTGGCTTTACTTGTGGCTTTTGCTTTCAGGATCGTCACATCCACTTCCTTGTCCTTGAAACTTTCCCTACTCAGGGCCCTCCTCTGTCATCTTGTGTTCATGCAGTAGTCCCCATCTCTGATGTGAACTTGGAGATGCAACCCCCAGGAGGACAGGTGATGAAGGGAGACAAGGTGGTCCTCATCTGCTCGGTTGCTAAGGGCACAGGAAACATCACCTTCCTCTGGTACAAAGGGAACCTTGGTTTAAACCTGAAGACAAAGACTCAGCGTTCACTGACAGCACAGTTTGAGATCCTTTCGGCGAGGGAGAGTGACGCTGAACACTATTACTGTGCAGCTGACAACGGCTATGGTCCCAGTCTTAGTGGGCTGGTGAGCATCACTGTCAGAAGTAAGTTCCATCACCACCAGCTCAGCTAGCAGGTCTCACACTGGCTCCACATTTCCCTGGGGCACATGAAGTTTCACTGGGGCACTCTCGGGGAGTTCAATAGCATAAGCGTTGATGGGCAGGGTCTATTAGTCTTGCATCACTAGAGACACTCTGTGACAGTCCACTCTCTCTGTCAGTTCCAGTGTCTCGCCCTATCCTCACCCTCAGGGCTCCCAGAGCCCAGGCTGTGGTGGGAGACGTGGTGGAGCTTCACTGTGTGGTCCAGGGAGGCTCTCCTCCGATCCTGTACCGGTTTTATCATGAGGATATTGCCCTCGGGAATGGCTCAGCCCCCTCTGGAGGCGGAGCATCCTTCAACCTCTCCCTGACCACAGAACATTCTGGAAACTTCTCTTGTGAGGCCAACAATGGCCTGGTGGCCCAACACAGTGAGGTGGTGACACTCAACTTCACAGGTATTGCTCAGGCTATGCAACTGTCTTGGTCAATGTTTCATTCCCAGTGTCCCAGGAGAGTTTCTTTGAACCACAGTGCTTCTGGTGATGTGTTACCGAAGACAGGACTTCTGTGGGTGGTGATGTCATGGGTGATGTATCAGAAGGGCATGGAGGGCACAAAGGTGGGGCATCTCTCTTCTCTTTTCACCAACGTGATAAGGTGGCAAGTCCCTAGACAAACACAAAATCTCTCTTTGGAAGGGCAGGCCTTGGGTACAACACACACCCAAGATGTCTGCTCTCCAAGGTCCAACACCTTCCTCTGGATAGCTTATGCACACGTTTCTCCCTCCAGTGCCTGTTGGAGACAAAGAGGATCATCATCTTACTGCAGGGGTCATTGAGGGAATGCTTGGCACCCTTGCTTCTGCCACCATGGCCCTATTATTTTGCTACTGGCTCAAGAGAAAAATAGGTCAGTATTTACAGAGGCTGGTATTTTGTTACTGTGACCTTCGTTTTCACTGAAATAGGCTGGATTTGTGGCATGTATACTGCCGAAGGTGAATATATACCACTAGTCATCCTGCCTATGAATCTGCTCACAACCGCCAGCACATGGGAACAGGTCCTGTTAAAATACTGCGACGTGTTTGGTAAAGTTTTCCATCCCCCCTGCGTTGGCAGTTGAAGGTCAGCTGATATTTTTGACTTCTGTGGCTGAATTTTTATGCAAAAATATAACTGTTTAAAATAATTAATTAGCCACTAGGGGAAAAATATGGTTGCAGCTCCAGGTTTTTGTTTTTAAAGCCTCAATAGTTTTAGGGGTACAAGTGGATGAATTGTATAGTGGTGAAGTTTGGGCTGTAAGAGTATCTGTCACCCGAATAGTGTACATTGTGCCCGATAGGTGATTTTTCATCCCTCACTCCCCACCCCGCCTTCCCCTTCTGAGTCTCCAGTGTTCATTACACTACTCTATATGCCTCTGTGGGCCTACAGATAAGCTCCCACTTAAAAGTGAGAACATGTCATATTTGATTTTCCAATTCCAAGGTATTTCCTTCAGGATAAAGGTCTCCAATTCCAACAGGTACTGCAAAATACATGATCTTATTTTTTTTTATGACTGAAGAGTATTCTGTTAATATAAATACATACCACATTTTCTTTATCTACTCATCAGCTGATGGCACGTGGGTTGATGTCAGATCTTGGCAGTTATGAATTGAGCTGCGATAAACATATGCCGTCTCTCAGTTCTAAAGTCCATGCATCAATTCTAATTTGCCTTAAAGTATTGTCACATGTTTTTCCTTCTTTCTGAAATGGTCATTCACTCGTCCACATGTTCTATTCACTGCTGGGTGTTTTTCACTTTGCTGCTGAAATGTCATTTTCTCCTAGAGGCTTCACCTGCCACACAGCCTACAATTGTTCTCTGCTATTATGAGTTACAAGTTATTTAGCTCCATGCTTTATCACAGTGGGTAATTATATATTTATTTGTATGTTTAACCTTGGTCTCCTGTTCTCCACTTAGCAAGCTGGAGATGAGGCAAGAGAGGACAATATGAGATTCTAATTTAAGTTCCAAGCTTTTGCAGCATCTTTGGGCACCTCACCCCAACATGGTTGTGGCACCACCTGCCTCCAAGGACTTTGTCACAGTAAGATTGGATGATGTGGTTGTAAAAACAAAAACAAAACATATAATAGATGGTGAGAGTTCAGAGACTTGGGTTCAAGTCCTAGATCTGGTACCAATTAGCTTTGAGAAGCCTACTGAATTATTCTGGACCCCACTCTCCTCATCTGTGAGATGAAGACTCTGTAAATGAGTGGCAGGATGTCTACTGGGCACACAGTGATGCTCACAATGGGTGTCCGAGCACAAGGCACATTTCTGCACAGAGACTGCATGAAAGCACTGCGAAGGAGGGTTCTTTCACTGATGTGTATGCCTGTTTGTTTGTCTTGCAGGAAGACATTCAGCCAGGGATCCACTCAGGTGAGGCCTATTTTCTCCCTATGTGCCAATAATGCAGAAAATCTATTTTTTAAAAGTGATTTAGATTTGTTCTCTCACGAACTTTTTTCTCTGTTTTATCACATCCAAAACTCACTCCTGAGTTCTCTCACTGGCAACTTTGAACATCTGTTGCCATTTCTCTTCTTTTAGATTTTGCATATTAAATATGTTATTTAAATCCTTTCATTATTTTTCCAATTGATTCCTTTTAATACATCTTCAGAATATTAAAGTCGCATTGCTTTGATCAGGACCATGCATTCATTTAGTAAGTCAACCAATACCTGGGAGTCTGTAAGTCATTCTGTTGAGGGCTGAGAGGTGGGAAAATAGGGAAAGATCTTGAGAATCTTAAAGTATTCTAGGGAAGGTAAGATATATACACACATTTCTGGAATACAAGACAGACAGTGATACATATACCGAACAATGGTTGATGAAATTTTGTAGCTATTTAGAGGAAAATATTTTTAAAATACTTCCATCTAGGGATACCAATGTTTAGTTGATATATTTTATATGTTTTTTTTTTTTTGAGTTGGAGTCTCACTCTGTCGCCCAGACTGGAGTGCAGTGGCCGCTCCTGGCCACTGCAGCCTCGCCTGCTGGGCTCCGGTGATCCTTCCGCCTCAGCCTTGCAAGTAGCTGGAACCACAGGCATGCGTTACCACACCCGGCTAATTTTTGATTTATTGTAGAGATGAGGTCTCACCAAGTTGCCCAGGCGGGTCTCGAATCCACTCACTTCAGCCTCCCAAAGCACGGGATTACAGGCTGAGCTACTGAGCCCTGCTTATTTTATAATATGTTATTGTTTATGTCAAAAATAAACATATCTTTTCCAAATCAGAGTAGCACTCTTTCTGGGTATATGTACATGCATGACCCTTTTTCCCCCTACTCCTTCCTCGAGTTACTTGCTCAGCTCAGCCACCTGTTTTTCATCGAGGGTGAATAAATATTTCTTCATTTAATAATTATGGAGCACCAGTGATTGACTGACATTATTCTGGCTTGGGCGGTGCCACAGTGAGCCAGTCAGGTGAGGAACTTTCACTTCTGGAGCAGACCCTCTGGTGTATACACTGCCATGTCCCACTCAGCTTGTGGATAGGACCATGACTCATACCATGCTGTCCTGTCTCCCAGTTGCCAATCTCCCCATGGATTAATATTCTGCTCAGGACTCTTTCTAATAGGCTTCTCTCCTTCGATGTCTTGCTCACAATCCCAGATAGTGATAACTTGGTTATCTGGGATAGTATCCCAGATAGATAGCTTTTGTTTCTGTGTTTGCAGGAGCCCTCCCAGCCTTGCACCCCAAGAATCCACTGACCTGAACTCAACTGCCCCAGAGCCATTACAACCCATATATGAAAATGGTGAGGCTTCCCAAATGACCCAGGGCAATACAGGTGGAGCAAGCCTGGGCAGGGGCAATGGGGTGATGTCTGCCCAAACCTGACCTTGCTATGTCCCATCTCCTCTATAAATGACCCATCTGTCTTCATGACTGTGAGGGGTGGCAGATAAGGAATAATTTGAAGGCAGGAATAAGGGACTATGTCAAGATATTGCTTTCCTTCTCTCTCAGTGAATGTTGTAAATGGAGATGAGGTTTATTCGTTGGTGCTCTATAGCCAGCAGGAGCAGGAAGCAGCAGCAGGTGAGACTTGGGGGAGCACATTTATCTCTGACATTTGTCTTTCCTCAAACCAAGAGGACAATCAATGACTGTAGGTGGCAGATGGCAGCAATCTTGAGAGTGGCTGCTCCTTTTGCCCTGTGAGCACTGCTGTGCCTATTGGAAAACTTACCTCTGGTGGTCCAGAAGCTGCCTCGAGTACAGCCCAGTGCTAATGCTCACTTGGCCTACTCTAGGCCATGTATGACAGCATTGGAGGTGATGGCTGCGGCCTGTCCTCTTTGAGTAGCCCGACGATCTCCTCCCAATGGCTGCCTAGTTGCTGCTGTTGTCCCATACTACACATGGTGGACTTCGAAAAGCTGGAGAGGTATAAAGACCCCTCCTATGCCAGAAGGGGTCTACTTACCTTACCACCCCAAGGCTGCCAGGTTTCCTCTGGATACTAAAGGAATTATATCTTTAATTTAAAAAAGCGAGACAAAATACTAATGGAAATCAATCCATAGGAAATAGAAGGCAAAGGGAAAAAAATTTTATTAACATGGATTTAAGGAAGGACTTTAAATATGAGTAGAATCTCATAGCACTTATCTTTTCTCCACAGTAGAGCCACCAAGGATACATATGGGGAATAAGGTAAGAGTCCTTATTGTAGCTTTCCTCCGTGTTCTTTCCCTCTTTCCTGTGGAGACTGATTCTCAAACTTCTTAAATTATAGCCACTTAGAAAGAGCAAAAATTTCAGTCTACTTCCTTCCTATCTCTCAACATAATGAAGACTAAGAACATTTAGCTATAACAATAGGGAGTCATTGTACAACGAAATTTTGAAGGCTTACATATATATTTACTTTAGTAATGGACATATGGATGATCTGCAGTTAAACTGCAGTGCATACGTAGTCTAAAAAAATTCTATTTATTTGAAAATATTTATCCTGAAGTACTGTGAAACCATTTATCCACCACTTTGTGCTAAGAGACTAACCAAATAATCCACAGTAAACTAAATTAATAGTAAATGATGCTAACAGTAATTTGTGTCACTAAAAGTCAGTAACCTATAACTTTGAATAATTCAAGATATCGCTGATGATTCAAACATGCTTTACGAAAATTGCAGAAATTACAACTCTGTGTATGTGTGCTTTGCAGCTTTGCTTAGTGTAGTATGGCAGCCGGATATCTCAGGACAGCATTGAAGTTAGTAAACTCCAAAGATGTGCTAAATTTAGTTTATGAAAACAAAATTCGGACAACCTTAAAAAAATGACAGCCCACGGGACTGCCTAACAATGGTCCTTAAGAATGAGGGAATCTAAAAAATGTAATACATATACACAATGGAATATTATGCAATCACAAGAAGGACAAACATATGGACTTTGCAGCAACTTGGATGGATTTAGAGTCGATCATACTCAGTGATCTATCACAGAAAAAGAACAGTGTACCATACGTTCTCACTCATAAGTGGACCTTGAACAGTTATCATAATACTATAAGAAAGGGATTGGCAATAGTGGGAAACTGCCATGGGAGGGGGAGTGGGATTGGCAGTTGAGGGAAACTGCCAGGAGAGGTGGGGTGAGGCATACCTCTTTCCCTGCCCTGGTCCTATCCATGTGTCTTTGCTTCCAGGTTTCCCTAGACATCTACTCTAGGATGAGAGAGGCAAGTGCTATAGATGTGGACTATGAAGATGTGGACTATGAAGATGCTATGTAAAGTTATGGAAGAATCTGCTCTTTGAAAACCACCCATAACCCTAAGCATCAGACCTGATGTGTTGTTTGGAGATCCTGGGGAGTCAGCTTTCCAGTATGCCTCTTCCAGGAACCATTCTCCACAAGACTGTTCATTCATCTACTGGCAGCAAAGTTGGCTCTACCCGGAACACCAATATAGACACAGCAGCGGGAAGGGCTTTGTTATTAGAACCAGATTTCTGCTGGTTCTTTTGGGAACAGATTCGACTGTGCTTTTACTTCTTTTTACAAGAGGAAGCAGGATGGCATAAAGGAAATTAGGGTCTTGAAGCAGAGACATGGTGATGTTTAGAGCGCACGAACCCAAGGTTATTGATTTTGCAGGACTGTTCTATAGAGAGAGCTGTTCCCAACATTTTGTCTGAGTGCTTTCTCTGCCCAGACTGTATAGAACTCTGACCCTGCCACTTAAATTGATCATCCTGTTTCTGCCTAAAATATGACTCCATTTATTTTGAGTCACTGTTACCAAGTTAGAATGAAAACAAAGTTGCAAAAAAAGTTATTGTGCTTACACTTAATTTTAGTGATGTATCTTGCATATATAGGTCAATATAAACCACATCCAAAGTTCTATATTCACTGTAGCCTCTAGAAGTTTTATGAACACACTCTATTTTTCATAAACTTTTTAAAACATCATAATATGTTTTGGAGTCTGTATTTTAATTTCAAAACAATCACACACTCACTCTTATAAATAAAAACAATTTAGAGGTATATAAAATAAGAAGTTAAATTCTTTTCTATAAGCTAGCACAGGTGGTAATCATTGCTAAGCAACGTAGCATGAATAGTTTTCTATTTTTATATAAGCACTTATACATGCATGTAAGTATGTAAATATTTAGACGTATACTTATCTAACAAGCTATCATAAAATATTTTCAAATATTTATATAGGTCTACTATAGTATTTTAAAAGATGCAATGAATTCTGTTATATAGATACATAATACTATATTTTTCTTGTTTTATTGTGGTTAATGTTCATAACCCCAAAATGATCATAGCAACCATTTTAAGTGTACAATTCAGTGGCATTAAGTACTGTAATAATATACTTTAACCCTTTACACCACTGATGGACATTAAGGAGGCTTTTGAAAGTTTTGTATTTTAAAAACAAGGCTCAAGTAAATGTCTATGCACAATCATATTATTCACTTCTGCTAGGTTATCTGAAAGATAAATTTGTTGTTTTTGTTTTGTTTTTGAGTTGACGTCTCATGATCACCCAGGCTGGAGTTCAATAGCACACTCACGGCCACCCCAGCTTCGACCTGCTGGGATCTAGCGATCTTCTACCTCAGCCTTCCAGGTAACCGGAACTGTAGGCCTGACCGGAACTGCAGGCCTGTTCTACCACGCCTGGCTAATTTTTTTTTTTTTACTGTAGAGACAAGGTCTTGCCAAGTTGCCCGGGCTGGTCTCGAACCCGCGGGCTCAGGCAATCCACTTACCTTGGCCTCCCAAAGTGCTGGGATTACAGGCTGAGCCACCGAGCTCAGCTGAAAAATAAGTTTGTAAATCTAGGATTGCTTCATTTCAGGTTATACATGTTAAATATTTCTTTAAATACTCTTAAATGTCTCTCCAGTATCCATGCTATATCAATTTATACATTCACCAAGATGCACGGAAGAACAATTTTGTGGAGGACAGTGCCGTTGTCAGTTTCTTTTTTTTTTTGAGTCGGTTTCTCACTCCATCACCCAGGCTGGAGTGCAGTGGCACGCTCATGGCCACCCCAACATCAGCCTGCTGGGCTTTGGGATCCTTCCACCTCAGCCTTCCAAGTAGCCGAAACTACAGGTGCACGCTAATGCACCCAGCTAATTTTTTATTTATTGTAGAGACGAGGTCTCGCCAAGTTTCTCGGGCTGGTCTTGAACCCGTGGGTTTAGGCAATCCATTAGCCTCGGCCTCTCAAAGTGCTGGGATTACAGGCTGAGTCACCGAACTCGACTGTCAGTGTCATTTAAATTTTTAAAATAATTGATTCAGTTGAACATTTTTCATAAATTCACTATTACTTTGTAGTTATTCTAAGTTTCCTGTGTTCAGCCTTTGCCCATTTCCTATATCATTTATCTTTATCCTCTAGCTTTTATAAGAATTATTTATTGAGACATAATTTGTATACAGTGAAATGCACAGATATTTATGTGCACAGCTTTATCATTTTGACAAATGCATGCATTAGAGTAATCCAAACCTTCATTATAAGATAAAATATTTTCATCACTCCAGAAAGTTCTCTCATACCCATTTCCAGTCTATGTATTCCACTCTAGAAACAACTATTGAATATCACACTTTGACTATCTCTTCATTGCATGTGATGCAAATGTTTTTATGCAATCTTTTGCTTCATTTTTTGTTTACAGTAAAGTTTAAAAGATGAAAAGGTAGTTTTTGTGCAGCTAAATTCAATTTTTTTCCATCTTGGCTTCTGACTTTTCTTTCTGTCATTTTCTATCAGACCATATTATCATTTGATGAAAATATTCTCTTACACTGTCTTATAACGATTTTATAGTTTGTTTCATATTTACACAATATATCATGTATATGTTTGGTAAGAGGTAAGAATCTAACTTTTACTGTCTTTGTCTTTATAGTCATGTATTTATTTTTTGAACTAAAAAGTGTGAGGTAGGAAACTAGCTTCATTTTTTAAAAGATAGATAAACCGTCAATTATTACTTATTTAAATAGTATGGTCTTTTTCCTTTTCTTTTTGTGCTGCCCCGTCTTACCTAAATTCATCCTAAGCCTATTTTGGACTCTGCCTAATACTGCAGATCTTCCTGCCTTTGCATAATTCATTTCAACCACATTGGCTGCCATGGTCCTCACGTACATCAAATGAGGAGCCCAGGAACTCTTTACTACATAGTTTCTATGCTTTGGATATTCTTCTTTTTATACTTGCTCCCTCGTTTCCTTCAGTTGCATTTTCTGCGTTGAGCTTCAGTTTCTGGCCCATGGAAATTTTTATTTCTATTTTTCTAGGACAAATGGAGCTTTTACATTTTGTCTGCCATTGCTATGTGTTTGGAGTTTCAAAGGATGAAACTGAACCATCATGATACCAGAAACTTGAACTTTTTGTATGATCGCCTCTTTACCATAATACTTCATAAAACCTTATCCATGACTTCTTACATTCCACTTCTCGCTTCTTAATCAATTTTTTTCTTCATCAACTTAAATTTTCCAGTCATTTTTGGTGGAGTCTGTGAATTCTTTTGTCCAAAAAGATCAAAAGTAGAATTTAAGATTGATAGCTTAGTTTTGTGCTCAACAGTTTTAATATTTTATTCCATGGTCTTTTGGCTTCAACTGTTTCCTTTGAGAAATCTTTTCATTTAATTGTTGTTTTGTTTTGTTTTTGGTATTGTTAGTCTGTCTTTTCTTTCTAGTTGCTTTTAAGACGTTCTATCTTTTGGTACTATACAGGCTCTCTATGATTTGCTTAAATGTGCACTTATTTTGCTTGAGATTAATAACTCTTAAATCTGAGGATTCATTTTCTTCAAATTTAGAAAATATTGGATTGTTATATTTTTATTATTTTGCTGCCTCAATATTGTTTGAATTCTCTTCTTTAGGAATTTATATTAGAAGTTTGCTAGACCTTCTTATTCTGTTCTTGTGACTTTTAATTAGTCTTTTCATTTTATTATCTCTCTTGTTACATGCTGGATAATTTCTTTTCTCTCTTCAGCTTATCTATTTTATTTTTTTTAATTTATTTTCTTCCTGTTGCAATAATTATACTTTTTGAGACATAATATTAGCAAAATGGTTAAAAGCATAGTTTCATAGGATTGTCTGGAATTGCATTTTGCCACTGACATTTACTAGAATTTGATTTCATTCTTTTGTATGTGGATATCCAGTTTTCCCAGTACTATCTATTGAAAAGATTGTCCTTTCCCCATTGTGGGTTCTTGGCAGCTGTGTCAAAGATCGATTGACCATGAATTTGTGAAATTATTTCTGGAATTTCTATTCTGTTCTGTTGGTCTACATATCTGTTTTCATGTCAGTACCATGCTGTTTGATTACTATAGTTTTTTAGTATGTTTTGAAGTCAGGTAGTGTGATACTTCTAGCTTTGTATTTTTTGCTCAATAACAAATCCTACCATGCCAAATGCAACAAAATTGAATCCTAGCCGTATGGGTTTGCTAAATCACTTTGGGTAGTATGAACATTTCAACAATATTAATTTTTCCAATCCATGAATATGGGATATTTTTTCCATTTTTTGTATCTTCTTCAATTTATTTCATCAATGATTTATAGTTTTTAGTGTAGAGATCTTTCACATCCTTGGTTAAATTTATTCCGAAGTATTTTATTCTATTTTGCTTTTAATATTATGGCATTGTCTTCCTGACTTCTTTTTCAGATAGTTTATTGTTAGTGTATAGAAGTTCTACTGCTTTAGAATTTTAATTTTGTATCCTGCAACTTTACTGAATTCATTTATTAGGTACAACAAGATTTTTTTTGGTAGAGTCTTTATTGTTTTCTATGTATAAGTTCATATCATCTGCAAGCAGAGATAATTTTTCTTTTTCATTTGCATGCCTTTAATTCCTTTTCTTGCTTAATTACTCTGGCTAGGACTTCCAGTACTATGTTGAAAATAAGTGGTAAAAGTAGACATCTTTACTTTATTCCTTATCTTAGAGGAAAAACTTTCACCTTTCACCACTGAGTATGATGCTATCTGTGGGATTGTAATGTATGGTTTATGTCATGCTGAGGTACATTTTTTCTATTCTGACTTTTTGAAGATTTTTAATCATAAAAACTTCTTGTTAATGTATTATCAATTTACTGATTGCTCATAGTGAGCCATCCTTGCATACCAGGGATAAATCTTACTTGATCATGATGAATGACTCTTTTAATATGCTATTAAATTTGATTTACTGAAGT